GGATTCATCAGTCTGTGTGTTTCTCTTGACTCCATGTCATCTTGTTGTTTCCAGGTGTGAGTGCTGTGACGCTGGTGACACAGAAGCCTCCTGTTGTGACTCTGAGGAGAGGAGAGACAGCCACCATGGACTGTAACCTGGGGACTGTGACTAACAAAGCTGCTTATTGGTACAAACAGATTCCAGGAGGAGTTCCTCAGTTTATTCTGAGCAACTATCACGGCTGGAGCTCTCCAAGCTATGGCTCTGGTTTCTCCTCTCCAAAGTTCACATCCACTCATCAGTCACAATCAGATTATCGTTTGATCATCAGCACTGTGGAGGAGAGAGACTCAGCAGTTTATTACTGTCAGACATGGGACAACTCTGTCAAAGAGTGGGTATCACAGTGATTTACACCGTGACAAAAACCTCCTCACTGAACACTTCTGCTTTTTGTCACTGCACTTAACTTTGACCACAATGAAGCCACAAAAGAAATTCAACACTATTAATATTACAGTGCATACATTTCAATACACTATTATTCATCTTGTGTGATTTTTTCAATGTTGGTTAAATATTCTCTGGTTAAAGAATTATCATGTTGTGTCTCCTGTTCTTTGAGTCAGCTCTTGTCTCACACGTTCATCAACAGGTCCAGAACTGATGCACAAACACAACATGTCTACATTCCCTGAGCAGATAGATTCAAAGGAACACTTGCTGTGTTTTTCTTAACTTCTCAAATGTGCTTCTCTTATCTGTCTATCTGTCTTATCTATCAAACTGTCTGTAACCTTGTCTGCCCCCCCCCCCCCCCCCACCAGCTGACCTCACAGAGAAGATCTACATGAAACAGAAACACAAAGAAAAGAGTTTCAGTTGCATAATATGCCTTGATTAAAATGTAATACCATTTAGTGATCTTAGATTGAGCCTGAGCAGACTGATGAAAAGAACCAAACACCTTCTGAACATGTTGTTTTAAAGAGGTGTCATCTCTTCTTTTTACCCGTCCTGTCTGCTGTCTTATAAGATCAGGGGGAGTTTCAGTCCATCAACCTGACTGGAGTTTGTCCAGTATATCTATTTGAATAAAATATACTCTCCATCACATCCAGCTTACTGCTCAGTATAGACTGCAGCTTGTTGCATGTTGCACAGAGCCTAGACATCTACCAGTTCTCCTGACACAGGGTCTGTGTGAGTCAGGCTGGGACCACAGGATCACATACGAGCTTTCATTTGAAGTATTATAGTAGAGGAGCTCTGGAGCAGCAGACAGTTTGCTTCCACCTTCACATGTGCTGCAGTCTTCAGTCACTGTCTGTCCAAAGAGAGGAATTGTGATACTGACATGTTCTCTCTGTATGTTCTGTCTAATTCACAGGCATACAATCACTGGGTTAGTGACAGTGTTTCACATTGATTAGGAAACAATTGATTTCATACACACAAACACACACACATTCTCACCTTGTCATTGTGTGTGTTTGTGTGTTCTTTACTATGGTGTTGTATTTTCTGTAGCAGCAGCCTCTTCGTTATGTCTTGTGTTCATGCAGAGAAGATTTTACACTTCACAGAATATGAGACACCAACACATGTAGAAAGTAAGTCGATAAACCACCTTTACAAGAATCTCTTTATACATTTCTCTTGTTTGATTTGTTGTGTTTAAGAAAAGTAACCCTTTTTTGTACTCAACATACCATTTTATAAAAATGCACTTTACCTTTATCCATGAAGACAGATGGAAACTACTGGCAATGTAGAGTCACCAATTGACCTCACGAGCATGTCTGGACTGTGGGAGGAATCCAGAGTACCTGGAGAGAGCCCACGCATGCACGGGAGCAAACTCCAAACAGAGAGGCCCTGTCCAACATACAATTCAGACTTGAAAAGCTTCTGTTTCTAGATTATGAATTTCATAGCAACAAAATTGATTCATTATCAACAACCACCTCTTCATAGAACTCTATTCACATTTACATCGTGTTATAAAGGTTTCTTTTTGGTACAATCATGAAGAAACTTGAACAAAATAAGAAAGGATACTAAACAAAGTGTTCTTCAGGGTGAAAAGAGTTTGATAAAAGTCCATCAGTGTTGTTGTAATGTGAGCAGACTGATGAAAGAATGACATGTTGACAGTGAAAGTTGCTCTCAACAGGATGTTTCAGTTCCACTCCCCTCATTAGTGAGAGTCAGGAGGTTTTTGTACAGCCATGTATACAAACTGAATCACTGTGGTATTCGGACAAGGCACCAAGCTGATTGTGACGAGTAAGTACTTTGAAACTCATCATGAAATGAGAGAGATTTGATCATTCTTATTCAAACTGATCAGTAATCATCATTTGTTATTTAACTCATTGTTCAGATATATTTTTGTGTGAACAACACACATTTATATTTAGTTCTCTTTCTGACACCAGACTATGTCTTGGAATGAAACGGAAAGCTTTCAAAAAGGTTTCAACATTTGTATGAAATAGTTTCTGTCAATTCTGAAGTATGTTGATGTTTGAGGAATGTTGAACAGTTCAGATCAAATTACAAAATGTGACAATTCATGTCCAAATATAAACGGCATGTTTGATCCTTTCTAAACCTTTGTTGAATCATCTCTAAAATGTTTCTTACAATGTGATATGAAGAATTCAAACTTCTAAACTTCTCGTGTTTCAAATGTTTAAAGTTTTTGATGAGTTAGTTTTTTAAATTAAAAACATGCTCTGGATTATTTCCTCATTTCTAAGTGTTAGATAGTTGGTTAGAAAAAAGAATTGAATTGTTATTTCAGGACAGTTGTTTCATATTTCACAAAGTATTTTTCATGGCACACAAAGTGTCTTTATGATATTGTTACTGTCATAAAAAATGATCCTGATTGATGAATGACTCATCATTTTGATCATCATTTCATGATGTTTTTACATGTGATGACAACATTCTTTACTGCAGCCTGTTTGTCAAACTGTGAACAAAACTAATGAGTTGATGGTCTCTGTCATACTTTGTATTGAATGACTTCACTTGTACTCATGTGTTCAATGTCCTGTGTGTGTGTGTGTGTGTGTGTGTGTGTGTGTGTGTGTGTGTGTGTGTGTGTGTGTGTGTGTGTGTGTGTGTGTGTGTGTGTGTGTGTGTGTCAGGCTCCAGCCTCTCTCCTCCTGTCCTCACAGTCTTCCCTCCGTCCAGTGCTGAGCTCCAGTCCAACAAAGCCTCTCTGGTCTGTCTGTCCTCTCAGTCTGTGCCTTTTGCAGATGTGAGCTGGTCTGCTGCTGGGAGTCCAGTGAGCAGTGGGATCTCTACCAGCACGGCCGTTCAGCAACCAGACCAGACTTTCCAAATCAGCAGCTATCTGTCCATCCAGACGTCAGACTGGAACATGGACAAGGTCTACACATGTCGAGTGTCTTTGGGCTCCCAGACTTCAGAGAAAACCATCAACAAGTCCCACTGTTCCACTGAAGACCAGTAGAGGAGCAGAGGGACCATTTCTAATCTGCTTCTTGACTCTTTGTGCTGTTTGCTCATTACAAGGTTCACATCTTACAGTATACGTCTGCATGCTTGTAATACATGTTGTGTCTATCTGTCCATTAAACCTTCTCAAGTGTTAAGTTCCTCTGGGCTCCCACACCTCAGAGAAGAATTTGACCAAAGACGATGAATAGATTGATCAGCATTTTTTTTATGCATAACTGTTGGTGTGAACACAGCTTTGCTTTATTGTGCATGGATTATTTGAAATAAAAGCATTCTTAATTAGATACAAATCTGTTGAGTTTATTTTGTCTTAGGTAAAATGTTTGTATGTATATACTCAAAACAATCAGGAAAATACACACATACAAATCAATAGGGCAGGTGCAGAGTCGACCCAAAAAAATCACTGAAGACAAATCAGACCGTCTGATGAGGAGTATAGTCGTGATCAAAATGTCACACTGGTGAAATACATTTCTGGTATATTTAACCCCTGCAGTGCACAAGACGCTTTGTCTTTGTCTTTTGTATAAACTTATAGCTGATACAAAAACCTCTAAATCAATCAAATATGAACCTTAAGATAATTGACTGCACTTTAACTGACTCTTTTCAAACATGCACACATAAATGCATCAAGAGTTGTCTCCCCCTTGTGGTTGAAGTCAAGCCTTAGAGTTTTTTTCTTCCACATGTTATGTTTAAGAAAACCAATCTGTAAGTGATGACAGAATGTGATGTATTGAAGTACTTGTCATCCACTTACTGTTTGTCTGTGCATTATTTTTTAACCCTTTAAAAGGAAACAATTATCTTTGCACAAGTTTCTATGTTTCTGGATTTCATTTGTCAGAATCTACTTCAAGGCAGGTCCTGCAAAAAAGATTAAGCTATGATTAAATATACACAGCCTTATGGTACCTTATAATCAGCATCAGTATGGTGCAGCCACTCAAAACTAAATCTTTAAAGGATTTAAATATGTAAATATGATCAAAAGTATTATTATTATTTTTTTTACATTTTAACCGATCCTACGAGTCTCTACATTTAAGGACATTGTTAAGGTATTTGTCTGATTAACCAATTGATCACAAATGAAACATCAGTGTGTTTCAGGTCAGAGACAGTTTCACAGTGAGCTGACCTTTGACCTCTTCATTTGCATGCAGCTATGAATAAGGAGAGGAGGCCTGCAGGTGCATCCTGAGGAGGAGGAGAGGGAGGAGCAGAGAGGTGATGCTTCACTGATGGAGGATGAAATCTCAGTTTCATTTGTTCATTTTATCTGATTATTCTAATAACACTTCCTATGCAAGAAACTAAAACGAGGCAAATATACAATAAACTGAAAAAGCTCTTTGTTGATGCACAGGTTGACCTATTTAAAATAGAAACATCTTCAAATACTGTTTTATTATTTAAAGATTGAATCAATGAAATGTTTTTGTGTTGATTAATAACCTGTTGGTAAGACAAACATCAGTAATGAGGAAATAAACACTTCAATCATTTATTTATTTTTTTGTTATTTTTATTCATGAGTTCAATTAAAGAAAATTCTTCATTAATCACATTTTGTATTGCATAATTAATGAATCTGTAGCAAGTTGCAAAGCTGATCCATCACCTCCACCTAGAGGTCACAACATGTATTACAAGCATGCAGACATATACTGTAAGATGTGAACCTTGTAATGAGCAAACAGCACAAAGAGTCAAGAAGCAGATTAGAAATGGTCCCTCTGCTCCTCTACTGGTCTTCAGTGGAACAGTGGGACTTGTTGATGGTTTTCTCTGAAGTCTGGGAGCCCAAAGACACTCGACATGTGTAGACCTTGTCCATGTTCCAGTCTGACGTCTGGATGGACAGATAGCTGCTGATTTGGAAAGTCTGGTCTGGTTGCTGAACGGCCGTGCTGGTAGAGATCCCACTGCTCACTGGACTCCCAGCAGCAGACCAGCTCACATCTGCAAAAGGCACAGACTGAGAGGACAGACAGACCAGAGAGGCTTTGTTGGACTGGAGCTCAGCACTGGACGGAGGGAAGACTGTGAGGACAGGAGGAGAGAGGCTGGAGCCTGAAACACACACACACACACACACACACACACACACACACACACACACACACACACACACACACACACACACACACACACACACACACACACAGGACATTGAACACATGAGTACAAGTGAAGTCATTCAATACAAAGTATGACAGAGACCATCAACTCATTAGTTTTGTTCACAGTTTGACAAACAGGCTGCAGTAAAGAATGTTGTCATCACATGTAAAAACATCATGAAATGATGATCAAAATGATGAGTCATTCATCAATCAGGATCATTTGTTATGACAGTAACAATATCATAAAGACACTTTGTGAAATATGAAACAACTGTCCTGAAATAACAATTAACAATCTTTTTTCTAACCAACTATCTAACACTTAGAAATGAGGAAATAATCCAGAGCATGTTTTTCATTGAAAAAACTAACTCATCAAAAACTTTAAACATTTGAAACACGAGAAGTTTAGAAGTTTGAATTCTTCATATCACATTGTAAGAAACATTTTAGAGATGATTCAACAAAGGTTTAGAAAGGATCAAACATGCCGTTTATATTTGGACATGAATTGTCACATTTTGTAATTTGATCTGAACTGTTCAACATTCCTCAAACATCAACATACTTCAGAATTGACAGAAACTATTTCATACAAATGTTGAAACCTTTTTGAAAGCTTTCCGTTTCATTCCAAGACATAGTCTGGTGTCAGAAAGAGAACTAAATATAAATGTGTGTTGTTCACACAAAAATATATCTGAACAATGAGTTAAATAACAAATGATGATTACTGATCAGTTTGAATAAGAATGATCAAATCTCTCTCATTTCATGATGAGTTTCAAAGTACTTACTCGTCACAATCAGCTTGGTGCCTTGTCCGAATACCACAGTGATTCAGTTTGTATACATGGCTGTACAAAAACCTCCTGACTCTCACTAATGAGGGGAGTGGAACTGAAACATCCTGTTGAGAGCAACTTTCACTGTCAACATGTCATTCTTTCATCAGTCTGCTAACATTACAACAACACTGATGGACTTTTATCAAACTCTTTTCACCCTGAAGAACACTTTGTTTAGTATCCTTTCTTGTTTTGTTCAAGTTTCTTCATGATTGTACCAAAAAGAAACCTTTATAACACGATGTAAATGTGAATAGAGTTCTATGAAGAGGTGGTCGTTGATAATGAATCAATTTTGTTGCTGTGAAATTCATAATCTAGAAACAGAAGCTTTTCAAGTCTGAATTGTATGTTGGACAGGGCCTCTCTGTTTGGAGTTTGCTCCCGTGCATGCGTGGGCTCTCTCCAGGTACTCTGGATTCCTCCCACAGTCCAGACATGCTCATTAGGTCAATTGGTGACTCTACATTGCCAGTAGTTTCCATCTGTCTTCATGGATAAAGGTAAAGTGCATTTTCATAAAATGGTATGTTGAGTACAAAAAAGGGTTACTTTTCTTAAACACAACAAATCAAACAAGAAAAATGTTTAAAGAGATTCTTGTAAAGGTGGTTTATCGACTTACTTTCTACATGTGTTGGTGTCTCATATTCTGTGAAGTGTAAAATCTTCTCTGCATGAACACAAGACATAATGAAGAGGCTGCTGCTACAGAAAATACAACACCATAGTAAAGAACACACAAACACACACAATGACAAGGTGAGAATGTGTGTGTGTTTGTGTGTATGAAATCAATTGTTTCCGAATCAATGTGAAACACTGTCACTAACCCAGTGATTGTATGCCTGTGAATTAGACAGAACATACAGAGAGAACATGTCAGTATCACAATTCCTCTCTTTGGACAGACAGTGACTGAAGACTGCAGCACATGTGAAGGTGGAAGCAAACTGTCTGCTGCTCCAGAGCTCCTCTACTATAATACTTCAAATGAAACCTCGTATGTGATCCTGTGGTCCCAGCCTGACTCACACAGACCCTGTGTCAGGAGAACTGGTAGATGTCTAGGCTCTGTGCAACATGCAACAAGCTGCAGTCTATACTGAGCAGTAAGCTGGATGTGATGGAGAGTATATTTTATTCAAATAGATATACTGGACAAACTCCAGTCAGGTTGATGGACTGAAACTCCCCCTGATCTTATAAGACAGCAGACAGGACGGGTAAAAAGAAGAGATGACACCTCTTCTTTTTGATGACAAGGTTACAGACAGTTTGTCTGTCAGATAAGAGAAGCACATTTGAGAAGTTAAGAAAAACACAGCAAGTGTTCCTTTGAATCTATCTGCTCAGGGAATGTAGACATGTTGTGTTTTTGCATCAGTTCTGGACCTGTTGATGAACGTGTGAGACAAGAGCTGACTCAAAGAACAGGAGACACAACATGATAATTCTTTAACCAGAGAATATTTAACCAACATTGAAAAAATCACACAAGATGAATAATAGTGTATTGAAATGTATGCACTGTAATATTAATAGCGTTGAATTTCTTTTGTGGCTTCATTGTGGTCAAAGTTAAGTGCAGTGACAAAAAGCAGAAGTGTTCAGTGAGGAGGTTTTTGTCACGGTGTAAATCACTGTGATACGTACTCACTGACAGAGCTGTCATATGTCTTACAGTAATAAACTGCTGAGTCTCTCTCCTCCACAGTGCTGATGATCAAACGATAATCTGATTGTGACTGATGAGTGGATGTGAACTTTGGAGAGGAGAAACCAGAGCCATAGCTTGGAGAGCTCCAGCTGTGATAGTTGCTCAGAATAAACTGAGGAACTCCTCCTGGAATCTGTTTGTACCAACAAGCTATTTGGTCAGTCACAGTCCCCAGGTTACAGTCCATGGTGGCTGTCTCTCCTCTCCTCAGAGTCACAACAGGAGGCTTCTGTGTCACCAGCGTCACAGCACTCACACCTGGAAACAACAAGATGACATGGAGTCAAGAGAAACACACAGACTGATGAATCCAACATGAGCTCAAAGCTGCAGTAAGTCAGCCTCCTTACATGTTAGAGCAGTGATGAGAGTGCACAGGGTCCCCAGCATGTTGTCAGTGTGTGCTGTAAACGTCCCTTACTGTCCAGCTGAGAGGTGAGCAGGGTTGGAGTGTGAGGAGAAGAGACACTGAAGCTTATAAAGACACTGAGGAGAGGAGGAGGAGGAGGGAGAGAAGGAGGAAGAGGAAGAGGAGGAGGAGTTTACACACTCAGCACTGTTTTCATTCATTAATAACAGACAGGATTTATGTCTGTTTGTTCCTGTTTGTCATGTTGTTGTTGTCTTTGGAGTTCTGATGATCTTCTTTGAATCTAGTAAATAACCTGAGGGTCCAACAAAAGTTTATGTATAAAACATAAAGTCCATCTCTGTTAGTTGAGCTGATTAAAATGTTTCATCTTTTTATGAGCTGTAAATCTGTCCTGTTATTTCTGTTATTAGTCATAAAAATCAACAGAAACTCATAATGAGACACAAACATGATCTTCTTCTGCATCGTATTAAAGTTCCCTTCACTCTGTACACACTAATATCATATTCATGTCACATTCATTTGGAGGTGATAGTGTTTGTCATGATTTTAAAACACAAACATCACAAGATGGTTTCTTTTCTTTTCTCTTCACTTGTGTGATTTATATTCTAAATACAAGCTCCTCTTTGTTGACTAAAGTTTTTTCTTCTTATGTGTAGTAATAAATGAGATGAGGTTTTCTGTCCAGAATACATTTAGGACACTTGTTTGATGTCATTACAAATTCTTGAGTAGAGCAGTTACAAGGAGCGTTAAATGTGAAAGAGATTCAAAAGCAGAAGTGTTCAGTGAGGAGGTTTTTGTCACGGTGTAAATCACTGTGATACGTATTCACTGACAGAGCTGTCCCATGTCTGACAGTAATAAACTGCTGAGTCTCTCTCCTCCACAGTGCTGATGATCAAACGATATATATGGTATATCGTCATTCATATATCATAACAATATATGAATGATGGTTCTTCAGAATATATTGAGGAACTCCTCAGAACTCTGCCTCTGAAAGATACTTTATTTTCAGCAATGATCTGCAACAAGTTCCCCCTTATTTCTACAAAGATAATGAATCACATACCATGTTTTAAAAATGTAAATGCTATCAAATTTCTGAAAAGGCAAATCAGCACTGAGTTAAAACATAAATAAAGCAACAAAGTAATGTAGCAAACTTATCAAACTTAAATCTTAATTTCTTCATTATTTTTCTTAGAAAAAACATTTAGCAATTTACAAAATATGTATCAAAGTGTGTTTTGTCAAAAACCTTTATTGAGGTGTCATCAGATGAGAACCATTGGATCAGGGACTGGTGTATCGGAAGCTAAAAATAATGAATTTATTTTTCAATACCTTGCCATTGTTAAGGCACGATCATAAAGAAATGCAGAACAATAAAACAAACTAGAATGAATAAAGTCACAGCAGACCAAAAGAATAATTGACAAGGATTTTATTTCATACAGCTTCAAGTCAATAACAATATTTTTGTTCTTTTATTTATTTATTATTATATATTATTATTTAAGTTTTACTAATTTAAGGTCCTAATTGTTATATTTAATATTGTATTGTTGGGACAAACCAGAGTACCCGGAGAAAACCCACGTGCAACAGAAGAAGAAAAGTACAAGTAGAATAAGAAGAGATGAAGTAGATGGAGCAAAGTTAGGAGGAAAGGGGAATGTTGGAGAGAAATGGTGAGGAATGAGGTGGGTGGGACAGGAAAGGAATTTTGTAGTTCAGGCTTCTCTCCTTGAACTATCTGTGGATAGGGGGAAGGCGGAAGTTTGGTTGCCCTGCAGAGGTCAGCCGGCCCTTAGAGAGAGAGGGTGCAGTTGAGAAGCGGGTCGGTCGCAGATCACTAATCCTGGTCTCTTCATATCCGAGCCCCGTCTTGTTGTGATCCTGCTTGCAAAAAATGGGACTGACCCTTCCTCTGACAGGGTGTTCAACAGCATTATGAATAGGTGGGAGGTGGAAGGGCTTCTGGACAAGGTCATCTCTAGAAGTGAGCTGAATTTGATTGATTTTCTTGGCCTCAGCTTGTTGTCTTTGATGTTGTCTTGGGAGTCTTTCGCGATTTGCAATGGCCGAGTGATCCCGTTCCTTTTTCTGATGTTGTTCCTTATCATTCTGATGCTGGATAATGGCTATGTTGTTTTGCTGTCTGTCCTGTCTCTCACTTTCTACCTCCTCAGCAGCAAGCAAATTTAAATGTTTCTTATATTGCCTCTCACTTCCTTTTCCACCCTGCGTCATCTGCCCATGGTATTAAGGAGTGTTCCCTCTGTACTGTGTGTCTTATCACTGGCTCTTTGGTCTTTTAGTGTCTTCTTGTTGTTAACTTTCCTTTCCACCACACTGCAGTATTTTTCAGAGAGTCCTGTAGCCTTTAACTCCTTCAGCTTGTGTTGTTTAGTCTCATCAACTTGCACACGTTTCAGCTTATTTGCTTCAATCAAATCATGAGCCTCTTTCATGATCTTTTCGCGATTTGCAATGGCCGAGTGATCCTGTTCCTTTTTCTGATGTTGTAAGGCCTCTAAGTAGTTTGCTGCGTTCTTACGCTTCTTCTCCTCTTCCTCCTTCTCTTTACTGAGGCTGTACTGTGACGCCTTTAACACCCGCTCAAACTCTTCTTTCTGAAGCATGACCTCTCTACTCTGGTAGTACTGTTTGGAGTGCGACTGCTCCAAGCGATCGGTGCGCATCTTTGCTTCCTCTTGTACTGTCTTTGCAGCCAGATCTTTCTCTTTTCTCCTCCATTTGCTGTCTTCCATTTCTTTGATCCTCTTAGTGTGGATCTCATCCTGCTCTGCCTTGTTGTCTCTAACTTCTTTCTGCCGAGCAAACATCTTAGCATGCTCCAACTCCCTCTCTTTCTTTTTGCGTTTCTGCGCCGCTTCCTGTTCAGCCTCCTGCTTCATTTTTTTCTGGATGAACTCTGCGTTTTCAATGTCAGCCAGCTTCTCCTCCTCCATCCTCTGCGTCTTGGCGAGCATTTTCATTGCTTTGATGTGCTTACGCTCTTCGTGTAGATGCTGTTGTGCCTCTCTTTTCTGCTCCAGGGCTTTGAGGTCCTCCAGTTTCCATTTCTTCTCTCTCTCTTGTACTGTCTGTTCCTCCTGTCTTTTCATCTCATCCTGCACCTGCTTGTTTGAATGAATGTTTTGTGATACTTGGTTGAGATTATGCTTCATCACTCTGTTTAGCTTTTGTTTGTGGAGTGCATCAGCTTGCTCAATGGCCTCTATGGCTTTGAGGCGCTCCATCTCTACCGTGACATTCAGGAGCTTCTCCTCTTCTGCCAACTCGGCCTGGATCTGTCTCTTCTCCATGATCTGGACCTCACGTATCTCTTGACACTGAGTAGCCAGAATCACCTTGTTGAGCTCCTTGATCTCATCTTCTTGCATCATAATGAGAGTATTGGCCCGCTCCAACGTCTTCTTTGAACGGTCCTGGGCCTGAATCTCCATCTGAGAAGGTGGCATGTTCTGCTTGCGGATATTATTTACCTCAATTAATCTATGCCTGATGGATTCTGCTGCTTTATACTCCTCCTCCCTCTTCCTCTGATGAGCATTCATTTCAACCTTGGCAGTAATCTTGGATGCTGAGAGAATCGGCTGCCACTCAGATGATGACAAGACGATGGACTCTCTAGAAGAATTTGATTTACCACGTCTGTCAAGCATGATTTTGTTCCCAAACAGGGATTCATCTACCTGAGAGGTAGGAGCTACTGTGCGGTAGCGACGAGCACCAGTGTGGTTCTTTGGGGCTTCACGACTGAATCCAAGTCTCATGGTTGTATTGTTGCAAGTCATTATTGGTTGCAATTTGAAGTGAAAATGAATAAGGTTTGTAAAACAGTTTCCAAAACACTAATCCTTTTGTATAATCGAATCCTCTGGTCTATAGTCTAAATTATATGTGACATCATTACATTCCATTCCTTTGGTCTTTATTTTATTTTGATTCGAAATTTAAAGTTGAAACAAACAACATGGACATTCTCATAGAATGTAGTCAACTGTTGTCATGACAACATGTTTGCAATGCAAATAATCTCTTCATAGAGTTGCTGTGATTGGCTAATTACATGCAGGCTAATCCTGATTGGTTGTTTGATTGAGACCTGGTATGTTATATTCATAGCTTTCACGTGACGTCACACTCGTATGGAACCGCCCACCTGGAGGGCAAGAAAGTCTCTCTACCACAGTACGCTACTGAGAAGTTACTGGTCTCAGTGGCCCCCTACGTGTTTCTATCTGTTTTATTTGACATTTTTTCAAATTAAATACAAGTGTTGTCTAATAGATACACTAACTGGTGAGGAGACGAGCCCGAGTTTTGCTTTTACAGAATTTAATCTGAGAAAAAAACAGAAAGGAGGACATTTGCGGATTAATTAAGTTAGACCCTCCACAGCCCCTGTGGGGGGAAACATCAGACTTCTCCTCATCCTGACATCAATTATAGTGTTGACTAATTCTAAATATTCCTACCGTTAACTCAAATTACTGCCCCAGAACACTAAGATTGACAGCTGATACTATCCTGATACTATCGCTAGCTAACTAACTAATGTTAGCTATGTAGCACTCACGATGCTTGAATGATAAGGAACTTCTTGCCCTTCACTTCTCAAACAGCAGCATTATCGACCCCGATCAATAATACATAAAGCTGCCTGTATGTTTGTAGACTTTCATCCTACAGTGATGTAAGGGGAGGGATTCTCCTATTTATCAGCAATATCACTGAAGTGACGTTCTGGTGTTACGGGTTAAAAGAGTGACCATGTTAACTGATGACTTTCAGACAAACGCGACTGAAAGTGTCCTAACAAATACCTCTTTGTTCCGTTTTTGTATTAGCATAATGTCAAAATTGTTTATGAGATATGTTTAAATGAAAGCCAAACAAATAGGCTTTTGATAGGACACGTAACGTACGACAACCAGACTCACTCGGCTGACAGTCACCAGTTATCATGGTAACTCTTTTAAACGTTACACCGGCATAGACTTTGCCGTTTCGAGCGATATAAATAGTGTCCCGTATCGCAAAGTATCGTTAAAGTATCGCAAGTGCCCAAAAAAAAGTTTATCTTAATATGGTTTTGCTATGGTTGTCGGGTAATGTAAACATGTGTCGTTTTAGGAGACGTTAAATTAAAAGCCAGTGATGCAGTTCTACAGGGTTTTCAACGATGGCCATTACTTTCCTGAGTGTTTTTTTGCCCTCCAGCCCTCCGTGCTGATGACGTCACTGAAAGCTATGAATAGGTTACTCGTGTTCTCAAAGTCTCTCTCTCACATGTAGTTTGTTGCTGAAATGCGGTATGCCGTCTGTGTGTGTGCATCCGCCCTGCTGCTTGGCCTTCGCTTCTCATGTCAGCAGCAGGTTTCCAAAGTCATGTGACACTGACAGGATCCGTAAAGTTACCTAGTGTCATGTTTTGTTTTTTAATCATTTATTTAGTATTATTGTCTGTTCCTGTTTTATTTTGTACTTACCCTTGTCTCTGTCTTTCAGATCCTGCTCCTCATGTTTTCCTGCCTTGAGCCTCCCTGTCCTGATTGTGCTCACCTGTGTCTCGTTATCCCCTGATTGTCTGTGTGTATATATCCCTGTGTTTCCTCCCTCATGTTGCTAGTTCGCAGTGTGTTCCTGTGTGTCACCTTGTTCCAGCATGTTTCCTTGTAGCTTTATAGTGATTTTTGACTGTGTCTGCCTTACCGTTTTGCCTTTTGCCTGCTCCCTTTGGCTTTGTTTGCCTTGAAGATTTGCCTTCCTGTGTACCGACCTGGACCGTAATTAAACTCTGCCTTTTTCTGAACTCATCTACATGTGAGTCTGCTTTTGAGTCCCTGTCTCTATCTGGTTCTGATATTAATCTCAGTGTTTGTAACTTCTTCAACCTTTGAAAGAAGGTTTTAATTCTGTTTGATGACTTTCAATACACTTTTGTTTCAATACACTCCTGCAATAGCTCGGTATTTACAAAAGGCTACCTCAATGCATTTTGTTGATCTTTATGGAATTTCTTAAATATTAGTTGAAAAATAAGCATTGTGTACAAATTATTCTGTCACTGCTGTTACAGTTTCTTTTTTATAGTCTTTGTAGAGAACCCCACTTTACAAGCCCCTAGTGGGATTTAATCAACTCTTCTTTGCATTATCATGTTATTGTATTGTAGTTAATTTTAATTAATTGATATGTGTGGATAAATGTAAAAACATTAAGGACACTGAGTGATCATCCTAAAGTCTTGTGTAGTTACAGGGAGAATTAGTAGATATTCTTAGAGACTCAAAAAGCAGAAGTGTTCAGTGAGGAGGTTTTTGTCACGGTGTAAATCACTGTGATACGTACTCTTTGACAGAGTCGTCCCATGTCTGACAGTAATAAACTGCTGAGTCTCTCTCCTCCACGTTATTGATGGTGAAACGATAATCAGATCCTGACTGATGGGTACATGTGAATTTCGGAGAGGAGAAACCAGAGCCATACTTTGGAGAGCTCCAGCTGTGATAATAATTCAGTATAAACTGAGGAACACCTCCTGGAATCTGTTTGTAAAAGCGAGGTCCATCTAGAGCAGAGTTACAGTCCATGGTGGCTGTCTCTCCTCTCCTCAGAGTCACAACAGAAGGCTTCTGTGTCACCAGCGTCACAGCACTCACACCTGGAAACAACAAGATGACATGGAGTCAAGAGAAACACACAGACTGATGAATCCAACATGAGCTCAAAGCTGCAGTAAGTCAGCCTCCTTACATGTTAGAGCAGTGATGAGAGTGCACAGGGTCCCCAGCATGTTGTCAGTGTGTGCTGAGAATGGCCTTGGAACTTGGAAAGTGAGCTCACTGCTGACAGATTAGAGGCTTTGGAGGATGAGGAGAGGAGGAGCTGGAGGAGCCATTTAATACAGCACAGAGACTGAGAGTGAGTGACAGGAGGAGGAGCTTTGATTCAATGTAACTGTTTTTTTTTCTGCCTCAAAACTCAAATATATACAGTGTATTACTGCCAAGTTTACAATGAGAGTGAATCTGTATTGTCTCTTTTAAATGTATATGTTCTATATTTAAAGGTAGTTTGCCAATATATCTCTGAATCACTTGTGACATGTTAACATGTGTGGCCTGTAAATATGTACAATATTAAAAACTCAAACTTTTGAATTATTATTCATTAAAACATCAGCATGTTTCCAGTCAAGCATAAAGTAACAGAAAGGTCCTCAACCTCTAATTTACATGAGGTCAAATGAGGACACGAGGCTTGCAGGTGCATCCTGTAGATGAGAGAGGGAGACGTTACAGAATGATGACTCACTTCTGCTGAAGTCAAGACTTGCAAATCGTGTGTGTGTGTGTGTGTGTGTGTGTGCGTGTGTGTGTGTGCGCGTGTCTATAAGAATAATCCACTGCTCACTCTGTCTTCTTATTATTAATCAAGTGCTGCCCTCTAGTGTACTGTAGGCTATATTTCTCCATAGGGGTTGTCATTAAATTGTGCAGATTGACCACATAAAGACAGTGTGTGCTGAGGATGACGTGGGAAAAGTTAAAGGAATAAAATAATATATGGGCTGGTAACTTGAGGGTTGGCCCGGTTCAAGTCCCCGTTGAATCAAAGGAATAGAGTTTGGTTGTTTTACTTTCCTCGACCAAAAAGGCACTGGACCCCAAAAACTGCTCGGTTGTGCTTTTGTTCAAACTCTTCACTCTGGTATCTCTCCATCAGTGCATGTCGAGAGGTTCATGTTTGTGCATGTGCGTGTGTGTGTGTGTAATCCTGGTTTATGTATGTTCACCTTTAGTCTACTTCTTCTAATTTATGATAAACTGAGAGTGACAGTTTTATTCCTTTTTCTTTAATATGCAGGGTCTCTTTACTTTTGTCTTCAATGTGTGTGTATAAATCTTTGTTTTAACAGTGTGTAAAAAGGTTGGTTTTAATGCCATGGCATTGTTACTACCCACTACCCACTTACATTTAATCAACCAATCAGTTTTATTTTGTAGTTCTTGTCCCCAGCGGTTCTTGTCTTGTATTTCTTCCTACCTCTGTGTGTGTTTCCCTCCAGTGCTGATTGCCCTCATTGTCCTCACCTGTGTGCTTTGTCTCACCTGTGTTTGATTACCCCTGTGTATTTAGTCTCAGTGTTCCTTCATTTTTGTAGTCAGATGTTCCCCTTGTCAGTTTGCCAGATGTCTACGTGGCTTATTTTCTTCATTTGGATTTTTTTGTTAAGAAAGTACGTTTTTGGTTTTGGGCGTTTGATCTTTTGTTCATAAATATTGTTTTGGTTTTCTTCAATTGGGTTCCAGTTCCTTGTTTTTCATACGTGACAGACTGGCTGGAACAAGAAAAGGGAAATGGCAGAAACAGGGTTTAATTAAATCTTTTATTTTCCTTAATCAATTTTGAAATTGAATCTATAAATAAGTAGAACTATGAGAATAGAATTATTGATAAATTTTGTTTTCCAGCATTGCTGGTTTGACTCCCGTGTTGTCCTGTTCACATGTTGGACTGTGATTTTAACATTCTTTACACTCTTAAGATCAAATGATTCCCACTGGTTGCCCACATGTGGTGCTTTGCCTTAAATAACAGTGAGAGGTGTAGTTCATTATAGTGCACCATATGCTTATTCATAAGATTTGCTCATTAATCTGTTCAGAATGAAGTTGGGGAAACTCCCCCAAAACACCTGTCATAGTGTGATAAATGTATATATTGTAATAAATCAGAGTTCTAGACCAGCTTTATAACCATTATGTTCCTTTATGTTTCTCACAACTCACAACAGCAGGATGAAGATTCAGGTGGTTTGATAAATGCTGCCACCTTGTGGCTAAAATTAACTTCGTATAAAAAGATAAATATTTGAAAGCTATAAAACCATCATATTAATACACCATGCATATAGTACAAATAATATAAGCCAACATTTTCTGTAAAATATACAATCATCTCATCTCATTTTTTGATATATCAGCATTTCTGGACAAGAAGACTAAGGTGTCTGTGGCCCTCTCCTCCTCGGCCCCTTAATAATCCCCCGTACAGGAGCTCTCATCTGTGCTCGCAGTGGAGCCCTGAGTCCAACGCTGGGGGGAATCCTCTGCACCGGCCGCCGAGGCAGAGTGAATCTGCCGCTCCTTAGATCGTCCACAAAACCCTCCACGCTGTCAAACTTTGCAGAGAGCCTCGCCAGCTCATCTTTTAGAGCGTTGAAGTGCTTGTAGAGATCTCCCAGAGCATCTGACAGGGGCTGGATCCTTCACACAAGTAGAGATATGAAGGAAAGTACAAATGACTAAATTATTTTAAATGACTGCATGACCTGTCAAAGAGCTTTGGTTCTTTGATTTTCCATAAGCTCACATTAAATTGGAACATTGTTTATTGGCAGAAGACAAGGAGAGCCAAGTCAAGTTGGCAACTTGAAAGTCAGGCCATGCTGTTAAGGAGGAACAGCCCCATCATCTGCAGGAAACATCAGGACAACAGACATAAAGCATGGCAGTCCCTTAAGAGAAGATGAAAGTTTATAAAGAGCACATTTTTGTCCAAAATCTCAGAAAAGACACCTACGAGTGAACAAGTGAAATATTTACTCACGTAAACATTTGACGCAGAGTCTTTTTTTTTTATCAAAGAAAGGTTCAATGACTTGGAGTTATATAAATCACACAAGTGAAGAGAAAAGTAAAAGAAACCATCTTGTGATGTTTGTGTTTTAAAATAATGACAAACACTATCACCTCCAAATGAATGTGACATGAATATGATATTAGTGTGTGCAGAGTGAAGGGAACTTTAATACGATGCAGAAGAAGATCATGTTTGTGTCTCATTATGAGTTTCTGTTGATTTTTATGACTAATAACAGAAATAACAGGACAGATTTACAGCTCAGAAAAAAGATTATGAAACATTTTTAATCAGCTCAACTAACAGAGATGGACTTTATGTTTTATACATAAACTTTTGTTGGACCCTCAGGTTATTTACTAGATTCAAAGAAGATCATCAGAACTCCAAAGACAACAACAACATGACAAACAGGAACAAACAGACATAAATCCTGTCTGTTATTAATGAATGAAAACAGTGCTGAGTGTGTAAACTCCTCCTCCTCCTCCTCTTCCTCCTCCTCCTCCTCCTCCTCCTCCTCCTCCTCCTCTTCCTCCTCCTCTCCTCTCCTCTCCTCTCCTCAGTGTCTTTATAAGCTTCAGTGTCTCTTCTCCTCACACTCCAACCCTGCTCACCTCTCAGCTGGACAGTAAGGGACGTTTACAGCACACACTGACAACATGCTGGGGACCCTGTGCACTCTCATCACTGCTCTAACATGTAAGAGATTCTTCTCAGTCCTTTCACACACCATCATTTCACACACAAACCTTTCTCTCATGTCTTTTTCTCTGTGTGTGTGTTACAGATGTTGATGCAGTGATAGTGTTGACCCAGACGCCTGCTGTCCACACAGTTTCTACAGGACAACAAGTTGATCTTCAATGTAACATCCAGAGAGATGATGGATATTATGTCTCCTGGTACAAACATGTTCCTGGTGAAGCTCCTCAGTATGTTCTGAGATTTTACCACTCTCACAGCTCACCTGGCTTTGGATCAGGATTCTCCTCAGACAGATTCAACTCTAAATCCTCATCAAACATAGATTATCAGTTCATCATAAAGAGAGCAGAGGCAGGAGACTGTGCTGTTTACTTCTGTCTGACATGGGATAACTCTGCTAAGGAGAACGTATCACAGTGATTTACACAGTGACTAAAACCTCCTCACTAACTACTTCTGCTTTTTGACTCTCTTTCACATTGAATAATGCTCGCTGTAAATACACTACACACTTACACTTACTCCTCTTCGTCCCTTATGGGACATAAGGCTTCAATGAGCACTTGCCATTGCATTCGGTCTCTGGCACAATGTTGGGCCTCTCCCCATGACAGGTTCATCTGTTCCAGCTCGCCTCCCAGGTTTTCTTTTGCCTGGTGGTGTCCATCTTAAGGCGACTTTTGGGATGCGGTCCTGCTCCATCCTCAACACATGTCCTAGTCATCTCAGGCGTCTGTGCGTAATCTCCTTGGTGATGTTCCGGCTTCTCGTTTTTTGTAAAGGTCATTGTTGGAGATCTTATTAGGCCAGAAGATCTGGCATATTCGTCGGAGGCATCCATTATGGAACACTTCCATTCTCCTCATGTCTGTTTTGACAACTCGCCAGCTCTCTGAACCGTACAGAAGAACAGACTTTACATTGCTGTTGTATAGGAGCATCTTTGTTTTAAGGCTGTATTGTTTTGATCTCCAGATGGGACAGAGTTGAGAGAAGGCACTCTGAGCCTTTCCCAGCCTTGCTTTGATGTCTTTTGATGCCCCGCTGTCCTTACTGATGAGACTGCCCAGATAGGTGAAATCTTCCACAAACTCAAGTGGTTCCTCATTAACAAGGATGGGTGCTGTGGGGATGGAGTTGCCACACATCACTTGTGTTTTGGAGGTGTTGATACTGAGCCCAACTTGTCTGGCAAAGTTGTTCAGCCTATCAGTTTTAGCCTGCATGTTGTACTGGTTGGTTGATAGGAGAGCAAGATCGTCAGCGAAGAACAGAGTCCACTGGATGCCTCTGGGTCTGTCTGCTGTGGTGTTGGTTGTGATCCAGTCTATGGTGACCAGGAAGAGGATAGGGGAGATGATGCACCCCTGTCTAACTCCGAACTGCACGGAAAACCATTCAGAGAGGTCATTTCCCATGATGACACTACACTCAAAATGTTCATAGAATGTTTTTATGATTGAGATAATCTTTGATGGTATTCCATAGGAGTGCAGTATCTTCCAGAGGGTGTTTCGGTGGACACTGTGGAAGGCCTTCCTGAAGTCCACGAAGTTGATGAAGAGGAGTGTATTCCATTCCAAGCACTGCTCTATGATGTTACGCAGAGCGAAGATCTGGTCCATACATCCTCTTCCCTTCCTGAAGCCTGCTTGCTCCTGTCTAATCCTGGTGTCAATGGCTGTCTCCATCCGGTTAAGAAGGACACTGCAGAACACCTTGCTTGGAACAGACGGAAGGGAATCCAGTTGTCGCAGTTCTTGGTGTTGCCTTTCCTGGGGACTTTGACCATAAGACCTTTGGACCAGTCTTCAGGGATGGTGTCACTGTTCCAAATGTTTTGGAATAGGTCTGTCAGCACTCATGTTGATGTTGGAATGTCGGCCTTGAGCATCTCAGCATGAATAGCATCTATGCCACATGCCTTGCCACTCTTCAGGGTTTGGATGGCAGCTTTAACCTCAGCAGAGTCAGGGGGGTTGGTGTTGATTTCCAGGATATCCTCTGTTGTTGTGATGTTGGCTGGTTGTTCTGGCTCAGGGAGATTGAGTATTTCCTGGAAGTGTTGAACCCATCTGGCTGCTTGTTCACTCTCTGATGTACAGATGTTGCCATTCTTATCCCTAACATGCGTAGTTTGGTTTGTACATTTGCCACAGAGTCGCTTTGTGATTTTGTACACTGTGCCCAGGTTTCCATAGGCTGCAGCTTTCTCGGCTTCACTTGCCAGGTGTTCAACAAAGACCCTTTTGTCTCTCCTAGCACTCCTCGTCACCTCTCTGTCCTTGTTTTTATAGGACATCTTGGTTTTCTCGAGGAGTCGTTGGGACTTGGTGTTCAGCATCTTTGCCTTCAGCTGCTTCCTCTCTTCAATTTTCTGCCAAGTGTTAGCTGATATCCATTCTTTGGCCCCTTTCTGTTTGAAGCCCAGGACCTTTTGTGCTGTTTCGGAGTATATGGTCTTGATAGTGTTCCATTCGCTGTTTATGGTGGGTTCTTCTTCCATTTCAGAGGAAGCCTCTGGCGTGCTGAAGCGGTTTCTGAGTTCCAACACAAACTCCTTGTTTTTCTTTGGATACTGGAGTTTTGAAATGTCCAGTTTCTTCTGCCGGTGGCTTTTTGGGATTGACCAGGTTGTTGTTCATGCAGCAATCAACAAGGCGTTCACCATTGTTGTTTCTTTCGCCACATCCATGCCTGCCCATTGCCCTCTCGTTGTTGGAATTGTCGGTTCCCACTTTGGCATTCATGTCACCAGTTAGGAGAAGAACATCGTGTTGGGGTACCTTTGAAACCGCCATTTGCAGTTGTTCATACCAGTCTTCTTTGACCTCCTCCTCAGCCTCGTTGGTTGGCGCTTAGCACTGTAAGATGGTGAGTTTACAGTACTTTGAGTTGAGGCGTACTCGGATCAGCCTTTCACTTACTGGTTCCCACTCCAGCAAGGTTTTGGCCTTCTCCTTGGAGATTAAGATGGCTACAACATGTGTGTGGATGCTTTGTGGCCAGAATGGAGGATGACAGACCCATCATGTAGGACTTGACGACTGGAGCCGGTCCAGTGACTCTCACTTATCCCCAGGATGTCCAGGTGGTACCTTTTCATCTCGCTGAGGACTTGTGCCTTCTTGGTGGTCTCAAACATGGTTCGGACATTCCATGCTCCAATGCGGATCTTGGTTTTAGGCCCTAGTAGGCCCTCTTTCGTACTCCTGACTTCCTTTCGGCTTTCATCAGAAGTGGTCATACTGCCACCCAAAGAGTTTGGGTGGCCGGGGTCTACAATGAGCCTGATGTCAATAGGATTTCTCATTTTAGTTTCTGTAACAATAGGTTTTTTTACAGGGTTGCGTTGTTTGCACCACGCCCAACCCCCAACCTGGAGGACCAGGTGCTGCCTTTTGTTTCACTCCTCACCCAAGACCAGTCTGGTATGGTTGAACCTGCCAGGAGCCATAGGCTCCCTCCAGCATAGCTCTCAGGATCATAGAAGCATGCAAGGCTCTCCACCACGGCAAGGTCACAGCAATGGGAGAAGCAACGTATCATTACTATCAAACAGGGTCCTGAAAATATTCTAAAAATACCATTTAGATGGAAAGAAAATAACAAATGTATCTCATTAACAAACACAAAGTAGAAATGTCAATATTTTTTTCATGTTCTTTTTCTTTTTCTAATTTGCAACATACAGCAATTTGTGACAAAAAAAGTGAAGAACAAGGATGAGCAAAGAGATGAAGTCTTTACCTCTGGAAACATAAAAAAAGAGCAGCTGGCATTTAGAATATAAAGCACACAAGGAGAGATGAAGGAAAAAACAGAATTCATATGTTTGTTTTCTGTAAATTCATCAAGTTAATCAAAAGAATTTCAACTGTAACGACTACAAAATTAATTTAGAAATAAAGTTCACCTTGCTATATTTGTGAGTCCAACGTTTAGGGAAGTTCAATCAGATGAAACAGGAGATAACTATATGTGTTGACATCATGTACTGCTTATTATTTGATACCCATGGCAGATACCATGAGGCTGTTTATAGCTCAGAGAAGAGATTTCACATTGTTTGATTAGACTGATGAAATCCTGATTCTGTTTGATTCATCCTTCAGCCTCAGGCCAAATGTTTGTCTGGAAACAGAAAAGTGTGTCAGATTTCACTTTAGAAAGAGAAGAAGAAGAAGAGACAAACTTCATGATGTTGGAAACATGTCACAGAATCACAGGAACTATGTGTTTACAATCTCAAGAGTCAATATAATAACAGAAGATGATTTCCTAGAGAGAGAACATTTCATGAGAAGTGTGACGAAAGTGAGATAACCTGAGAAATGTTCAATCGGAAACATTCTTTATACTCAACCTGTTTACTGCAAAAACTCAAATACACAAGTGTGAGAACACATTACACTTCAAATCATAAAGACTTTATTTCTTCATTAGATTATGAACACTGATCTCAGAGACATGGGGGGGCCTCTAAAGACAACAGGAACAACAACAATCAATCAATCAATCAATCATTTTTTATTTGAATAGCGTCAACACATAACAAGTGTTATCTCGCGACACTTTACAAAAAGCAGGTAAAAGACCTTACTCTTTGTCTTTTAACATTACAAAGAGCAGGTACTCATTTTTATGTTACAAAAATCAGGTAAAAGACCTTACTTATTGCTATATTACAAAGACCCAGCCTATCCACCATGAGCACTTCAGCAAAGCAGCAAAAGTTACAGTGGTAATAAAAAACTGCCTTTATAGGGCACTCATTGAAATACTTTGAAATTCAAAAATTCAACCTTAGAGTGTTATTGGGGGACATAACAAAACTTTATTTCTGTTGTAAAAATGTTTAAATTTTTTCAATGTCATGTACAAAATCAACGTGAACAAAGTTACCATATTTGGTTCCTCGCCCTTTAGTGGTAAAAAAAAATCCAAGAAGTGTATATACACAAAATACAAGAAAAACACCTATAAGGTGAAAGGAACATGTACGTTTCAACATTAGAACATCACTTTTAGAACATTGCAACACAAGTGCTGATACAGACACCTGTCAACTTACGCAGTATCACTTTAGACACCATTAGGCCAGTTTGTCATGGTACCTATAGCAGTTACGCTCACTGTTCATGCAAAGGTGGACCTTGCAGACCCTGCAGACCACATTTGACCTTAAAATGTTGCCTTTGCTGCTACAGTACTTGCAGGTCTGGCGTTTGGCATGTACAGGGGCATGGAAGAGGGACAGATCAAAGCGCACAGCCTCATTTGGTGTGTGGCTGCAGTGTCCCCGGACAGGCTTAGGGACATCAGAACTGGTGGTCAGGCTTTCGACAGATGAAGATGAGCTTTTTCTGGAGCTAGATGTGGCAGGCATCTGGCCGCTGGCACCCCTGAACACCTGGATTCTGAAATCTTTCAGAAGCTGGCCATTCACTCCAAGGGCCTTACAGTCCCGCCTGTACACAACCCAGGCAGGATACTGACATCAATGACGTATGCAAACAGACGCAGGTACCACCTCTTGGACTTCATGGGGGTGCGGTAGAGGTGTACCAGCATGTCACTCTTATCAATGCCCCCCATGTTGGCATTATAACTCCTGATGACAGCTGGACAGCTCACAGGCTCCTTCTTCTTGGTCTCACTGCAGTACCTGATGACTGAGGACATCGGCTCCACCCCCATGTCTGTTGACAGCAGAGTGACCGCTTTGTTGTCCTTCCACCTGACGGCCAGTATACCATCATCACTGGTAACGTAGTCACAAGTACCACGAGGGACAGCAAGGTCTGCCACATTGTCATCTTCCTCCTCGTCATCATCACTGATGGTAGGGTGGGCCGGCATGACAACAGTCTCCCTCCTCTTGGCATAAAACCGCGCAGACATTGCCTAAAAATTACACACAATATAACAACCGTTAAAAGGTCACAAACTGACAAAAATCACTCATATTTACTATTTATAGCTTTAACCCTTGTATGGTGTTCGGGTCTGTGGGACCCATTTTCATTTCTTATCTAAAGAAAAATGATACGATTCATTATTTTTTCAAACTCTGACTCATTGGCCTTGGCTCATTTTCTGTGAAGAACATATATCAGAACACATTTTCAATGACCACACATTGTACACCCCCCTAAACATTTATATTACATACAGGATGTTTGGGTCCACCTGACCCGGGGCTAATTAAAATGTATAAATATATATAATATAATGTATATATATGAATAAATATGGCTTTGTCAGTGTGGTTCCTTATCACAGCTGATCAAGATGGCCAAAAGATTATCTTCTCAGAGGGCCTTGCAATTGATTTTGGTAAAGAGAGAAAAGTGTGTGTGAGGATCACATTCAGGGGGGGGTTGTTCTGGCAGGCCATCAACCAACGACCTCGAGGAGCCTAAGAGAGCTCAAGAGCTCACAGGAAAGTAGATGGTTAGTGACTGAGATTTAGAGATAGATACATGCAGTAATATGATGTACTGTATATGCACAGAGAGAGAGAGAGAGAGAGAGAGAGAGAGGAGCTCAAGGTGCCAGTTCCCCCGGTAGTCTAAGCCTATAGCAGCATAACTAGGAGCTAGTCTACACCAGCACCAGCCTTAACTATAAGATTTATCAAAAAGGAAAGTTTGGAAGACGGCTGGTCCTAACGTCCTTAAGGCACGTTTCTATCTTACATAACTGACTGGTGCCATCGGGCTTCATTGATACGTAAAGCTGAGTATCATCTGCATAACAATGTAACTGTATGGAGTGTTTCCTCATAATATTTCCCAGAGAAAGCATATATAATGTAAAGAGAATTGGTCCAAGCACTGAACCTTCTGGCACTCCATGGCTAACTTTGGTGTGCACAGAGGACTTATCATTAACATGTACAAACTGAGATTGGTCTGATAAGTAGGATTCAAACCAACGTAAAGCAGTCCCTGTAGTTCCAAGTAAATGTTCTAGTCTGTGTAGTAGGATTTGATGGTCAGTAGTGTCAAAAGCAGCACTAAGATCTAACAAGGCGAGCACAGAGAGAAGTCCCCTGTCTGAAGCTAGAAGTAGATCATTTGTAACTTTAACTTGTGCAGTCTCAGTGCTATGGTGGACCCTAAATCCTGACTGAAACTCCTAAAATGAACTGTTGTCATGGAGAAAGTCACACAGCTGATTAGTTACCACAAACAGCATGAAAACAGGAACAAACAGACATAAATCCTGTCTGTTATTAATGAATGAAAACAGTGCTGAGTGTGTAAACTCCTCCTCTTCCTTTTCCTCCTCTCCTCTCCTCAGTGTCTTTATAAGCTTCAGTGTCTCTTCTCCTCACACTCCAACCCTGCTCACCTCTCAGCTGGACAGTAAGGGACGTTTACAGCACACACTGACAACATGCTGGGGACCCTGTGCACTCTCATCACTGCTCTAACATGTAAGGAGGCTGACTTACTGCAGCTTTGAGCTCATGTTGGATTCATCAGTCTGTGTTTCTCTTGACTCCATGTCATCTTGTTGTTTCCAGGTGTGAGTGCTGTGACGCTGGTGACACAGAAGCCTCCTGTTGTGACTCTGAGGAGAGGAGAGACAGCCACCATGGACTGTAACCTGGGGACTGTGACTGGTAGTTCTGCTCGTTGGTACAAACAGATTCCAGGAGGAGTTCCTCAGTATATTCTGAAGAACCATCATTCATATAGCTCTCCAGAGTATGGCTCTGGTTTCTCCTCTCCAAAGTTCACATCCACTCATCAGTCACAATCAGATTATCGTTTGATCATCAGCACTGTGGAGGAGAGAGACTCAGCAGTTTATTACTGTAGCACATGGGACAGCTCTGTCAGTGAGCACGTATCACAGTGATTTACACCGTGACAAAAACCTCCTCACTGAACACTTCTGCTTTTTGTCACTGCACTTAACTTTGACCACAAAGAAGCCACAAAAGAAATTCAACACTATTAATATTACAATGCATACATTTCAATACACTATTATTCATCTTGTGTGATTTTTTCAATGTTGGTTAAATATTCTCTGGTAAAAGAATTATCATGTTGTGTCTCCTGTTCTTCGAGTCAGCTCTTGTCTCACACGTTCATCAACAGGTCCAGAACTGATGCACAAAAACAACATGTCTACATTCCCTGAGCAGATAGATTCAAAGGAACACTTGCTGTGTTTTTCTTAACTTCTCAAATGTGCTTCTCTTATCTGACAGACAAACTGTCTGTAACCTTGTCTGACCCCCCCACCCCCCCACCAGCTGACCTCACAAAGAAGATCTACATGAAACAGAAACACAAAGAAAAGAGTTTCAGTTGCATAATATACCTTGATTAAAATGTAATACCATTTAGTGAGCTTAGATTGAGTGTTAGGTGGGGGTTGTTTCTGTTTGTATAAATCCAATGAAGAAATCGTGAAACAGACTGGAGATTATAACACCGTTTAATCGGCCGAGGTCAGACAACTTCATCAAACAAGCACGCTTCCAAATCACTTGACTGACAAAGTGCTGACAAAGTAACAGTGTTCACAGTGCTGCTTATATTCTGTCAAAAAGGTGCAACCCACAAATTCCTTTCCATTTGGGTACATCACCATAAAACAATAAAGATGACATGACACTGATTTGTATACGTAACAACTGTAGACTCTCTATCTAGCAAACAGTTGCTGACAACATATGCTTGGCTCCTATCCAAACATAGATCTGCTACTACTTAGGTGCTTCGCTCATATAAGTTTACAGCTTCAGACACCTAAAGGTAGGAGTGTTAACAGGTGGTAGGCAGACTTGAATAATACATTTCACGAAGTTACAAGATTAATGAATTTCATGAAAATTCGTACTAACATTGAGCCTGAGCAGACTGATGAAAAGAACCAAACACCTTCTGAACATGTTGTTTTAAAGAGGTGTCATCTCTTCTTTTTACCCGTCCTGTCTGCTGTCTTATAAGATCAGGGGGAGTTTCAGTCCATCAACCTGACTGGAGTTTGTCCAGTATATCTATTTGAATAAAATATACTCTCCATCACATCCAGCTTACTGCTCAGTATAGACTGCAGCTTGTTGCATGTTGCACAGAGCCTAGACATCTACCAGTTCTCCTGACACAGGGTCTGCGTGAGTCAGGCTGGGACCACAGGATCACATACGAGGTTTCATTTGAAGTATTATAGTACAGGAGCTCTGGAGCAGCAGACAGTTTGCTTTTTTTTGACCACCTTCACATGTGCTGCAGTCTTCAGTCACTGTCTGTCCAAAGAGAGGAATTGTGATACTGACATGTTCTCTCTGTATGTTCTGTCTAATTCACAGGCATACAATCACTGGGTTAGTGACAGTGTTTCACATTGATTAGGAAACAATTGATTTAATACACACAAACACACACACATTCTCACCTTGTCATTGTGTGTGTTTGTGTGTTCTTTACTATGGTGTTGTATTTTCTGTAGCAGCAGCCTCTTCATTATGTCTTGTGTTCATGCAGAGAAGATTTTACACTTCACAGAATATGAGACACCAACACATGTAGAAAGTAAGTCGATAAACCACCTTTACAAGAATCTCTTTAAACATTTCTCTTGTTTGATTTGTTGTGTTTAAGAAAAGTAACCCTTTTTTGTACTCAACATACCATTTTATGAAAATGCACTTTACCTTTATCCATGAAGACAGATGGAAACTACTGGCAATGTAGAGTCACCAATTGACCTAATGAGCATGTCTGGACTGTGGGAGGAATCCAGAGTACCTGGAGAGAGCCCACGCCCAGAGAGGTGATGGACAAAGAGTCAAGAAGCAGATTAGAAATGGTCCCTCTGCTCCTCTACTGGTCTTCAGTGGAACAGTGGGACTTGTTGATGGTTTTCTCTGAAGTCTGGGAGCCCAAAGACACTCGACATGTGTAGACCTTGTCCATGTTCCAGTCTGACGTCTGGATGGACAGATAGCTGCTGATTTGGAAAGTCTGGTCTGGTTGCTGAACGGCCGTGCTGGTAGAGATCCCACTGCTCACTGGACTCCCAGCAGCAGACCAGCTCACATCTGCAAAAGGCACAGACTGAGTGGACAGACAGACCAGAGAGGCTTTGTTGGACTGGAGCTCAGCACTGGACGGAGGGAAGACTGTGAGGACAGGAGGAGAGAGGCTGGAGCCTGAAACACACACACACACACACACACACACACACACACACACACACACACACACACACACACACACACACACACAGGACATTGAACACATGAGTACAAGTGAAGTCATTCAATACAAAGTATGACAGAGACCATCAACTCATTAGTTTTGTTCACAGTTTGACAAACAGGCTGCAGTAAAGAATGTTGTCATCACATGTAAAAACATCATGAAATGATGATCAAAATGATGAGTCATTCATCAATCAGGATCATTTTTTATGAAAGTAACAATATCATAAAGACACTTTGTGTGCCATGAAAAATACTTTGTGAAATATGAAACAACTGTCCTGAAATAACAATTCAATTCTTTTTTCTAACCAACTATCTAACACTTAGAAATGAGGAAATAATCCAGAGCATGTTTTTAATTTAAAAAACTAACTCATCAAAAACTTTAAACATTTGAAACACGAGAAGTTTAGAAGTTTGAATTCTTCATATCACATTGTAAGAAACATTTTAGAGATGATTCAACAAAGGTTTAGAAAGGATCAAACATGCCGTTTATATTTGGACATGAATTGTCACATTTTGTAATTTGATCTGAACTGTTCAACATTCCTCAAACATCAACATACTTCAGAATTGACAGAAACTATTTCATACAAATGTTGAAACCTTTTTGAAAGCTTTCCGTTTCATTCCAAGACATAGTCTGGTGTCAGAAAGAGAACTAAATATAAATGTGTGTTGTTCACACAAAAATATATCTGAACAATGAGTTAAATAACAAATGATGATTATTGATCAGTTTGAATAAGAATGATCAAATCTCTCTCATTTCATGATGAGTTTCAAAGTACTTACTCGTCACAAACAGCTTGGTGCCTTGTCCGAATACCACAGTGATTCAGTTTGTATACATGGCTGTACAAAAACCTCCTGACTCTCACTAATGAGGGGAGTGGAACTGAAACATCCTGTTGAGAGCAACTTTCACTGTCAACATGTCATTCTTTCATCAGTCTGCTCACATTACAACAACACTGATGGACTTTTATCAAACTCTTTTCACCCTGAAGAACACTTTGTTTAGTATCCTTTCTTGTTTTGTTCAAGTTTCTTCATGATTGTACCAAAAAGAAACCTTTATAACACGATGTAAATGTAAATAGAGTTCTATGAAGAGGTGGTCGTTGATAATGAATCAATTTTGTTGCTATGAAATTCATAACCTAGAAACAGAAGCTTTTCAAGTCTGAATTGTATGTTGGACAGGGCCTCTCTGTTTGGAGTTTGCTCCCGTGCATGCGTGGGCTCTCTCCAGGTACTCTGGATTCCTCCCACAGTCCAGACATGCTCGTTAGGTCAATTGGTGACTCTACATTGCCAGTAGTTTCCATCTGTCTTCATGGATAAAGGTAAAGTGCATTTTCATAAAATGGTATGTTGAGTACAAAAAAGGGTTACTTTTCTTAAACACAACAAATCAAACAAGAGAAATGTATAAAGAGATTCTTGTAAAGGTGGTTTATCGACTTACTTTCTACATGTGTTGGTGTCTCATATTCTGTGAAGTGTAAAATCTTCTCTGCATGAACACAAGACATAATGAAGAGGCTGCTGCTACAGAAAATACAACACCATAGTAAAGAACACACAAACACACACAATGACAAGGTGAGAATGTGTGTGTGTTTGTGTGTATTAAATCAATTGTTTCCTAATCAATGTGAAACACTGTCACTAACCCAGTGATTGTATGCCTGTGAATTAGACAGAACATACAGAGAGAACATGTCAGTATCACAATTCCTCTCTTTGGACAGACAGTGACTGAAGACTGCAGCACATGTGAAGGTGGAAGCAAACTGTCTGCTGCTCCAGAGCTCCTGTACTATAATACTTCAAATGAAACCTCGTATGTGATCCTGTGGTCCCAGCCTGACTCACACAGACCCTGTGTCAGGAGAACTGGTAGATGTCTAGGCTCTGTGCAACATGCAACAAGCTGCAGTCTATACTGAGCAGTAAGCTGGATGTGATGGAGAGTATATTTTATTCAAATAGATATACTGGACAAACTCCAGTCAGGTTGATGGACTGAAACTCCCCCTGATCTTATAAGACAGCAGACAGGACGGGTAAAAAGAAGAGATGACACCTCTTTAAAACAACATGTTCAGAAGGTGTTTGGTTCTTTTCATCAGTCTGCTCAGGCTCAATCTAAGATCACTAAATGGTATTACATTTTAATCAAGGCATATTATGCAACTGAAACTCTTTTCTTTGTGTTTCTGTTTCATGTAGATCTTCTCTGTGAGGTCAGCTGGTGTGTGGGGGGGGGGGCAGACAAGGTTACAGACAGTTTGTCTGTCAGATAAGAGAAGCACATTTGAGAAATTAAGAAAAACACAGCAAGTGTTCCTTTGAATCTATCTGCTCAGGGAATGTAGACATGTTGTGTTTGTGCATCAGTTCTGGACCTGTTGATGAACGTGTGAGACAAGAGCTGACTCAAAGAACAGGAGACACAACATGATAATTCTTTAACCAGAGAATATTTAACCAACATTGAAAAAATCACACAAGATGAATAATAGTGTATTGAAATGTATGCACTGTAATATTAATAGTGTTGAATTTCTTTTGTGGCTTCATTGTGGTCAACGTTAAGTGCAGTGACAAAAAGCAGAAGTGTTCAGTGAGGAGGTTTTTGTCACGGTGTAAATCACTGTGATACGTACTCATTGACAGAGCCGTCCCATGTGCTACAGTAATAAACTGCTGAGTCTCTCTCCTCCACAGTGCTGATGATCAAACGATAATCTGTTTGTGACTGATGAGTGGATGTGAACTTTGGAGAGGAGAAACCAGAGCCATACTCTGGAGAGCTCCAGCCGTGATAGTTGCTCAGAATAAACTGAGGAACTCCTCCTGGAATCTGTTTGTACCAACAAGCTCTTTGGCCAGTCACAGTTCCCAGGTTACAGTCCATGGTGGCTGTCTCTCCTCTCCTCAGAGTCACAACAGGAGGCTTCTGTGTCACCAGCGTCACAGCACTCACACCTGGAAACAACAAGATGACATGGAGTCAAGAGAAACACACAGACTGATGAATCCAACATGAGCTCAAAGCTGCAGTAAGTCAGCCTCCTTACATGTTAGAGCAGTGATGAGAGTGCACAGGGTCCCCAGCATGTTGTCAGTGTGTGCTGAGAATGGCCTTGGAACTTGGAAAGTGAGATCACTGCTGACAGATTAGAGGCTTTGGGGGATGAGGAGAGGAGGAGCTGGAGGAGCCATTTAATACAGCACAGAGACTGAGAGTGAGTGACAGGAGGAGGAGCTTTGATTCAATCTAACTGTTTTGGCTTTTTTTTTTCTGCCTCAATACAAAACTCAAATATATACAGTGTATTACTGCCAAGTTTACAATGAGAGTGAATCTGTATTGTCTCTTATAAATGTATATGTTCTTTAGTTAAAGGTAGTTTGCCAATATATCTCTGAATCACTTGTGACATGTTAACATGTGTGGCCTGTAAATATGTACAATATTAAAAACCCAAACTTTTGAATTATTATTATTAAAACATCAGCATGTTTCCAGTCAAGCATAAAGTAACAGAAAGGTCCTCAACCCCTAATTTACATGAGGTCAAATGAGGACACGAGGCTTGCAGGTGCATCCTGTAGATGAGAGAGGGAGATGTTACAGAATGATGACTCACTTCTGCTGAAGTCAAGACTTGCAAATTGTGTGTGTGTGTGTGTGTGTGTGTGTGTGTGTGTGTGTGTGTGTGTGTGTTTGTGTGTGTGTGTGTGTGTGTGTGTGTGTTTGTGTAGGTGTGTGTGTGTTTGTGTGTGTGTGTGTGTCTATAAGAATAATCCACTGCTCACTCTGTCTTCCTATTATTAATCAAGTGCTGCCCTCTAGTGTACTGTAGGCTATATTTCCCCATAGGGATTGTCAATAAGTTGTGCAGATTGACCACATAAAGACAGTGTTTGCTGAGGATGACGTGGGAAAAGTTATGGTGTATAATGTCTGTTTGTTCCTATTTGTCATGTTGTTTGGTAGCTAATCAGCTGTGTGACTTTCTCCATGACAACAGTTCATTTGAGGAGTTTCAATCAGGATTTAGGGTCCACCATAGCACTGACACTGCACAAGTTAAAGTTACAAATGATTTACTTCTAGCTTCAGACAGGGGACTTCTCTCTGCTCGTCTTGTAAGATCTTAGTGCTGCTTTTGACACTATTGACCATCAAATCCTACTACACAGACTAGAACATTTAGTTGGAATTACAGGGACTGCTTTAAGTTGGTTTGAATCCTACTTATCAGACCAATCTCAGTTTGTACATGTTAATGACAAGTCCTCTATGCACACCAAAGTTAGCCATAGAGTGCCAGAAGGTTCAGTGCTTGGACCAATTCTCTTTACATTATATATGTGAAATATTATGAGGAAACACTCCATACAGTTTCATTGGTATGCAGATGATACTCAGCTTTATGTATCAATGAAGCCTGATGGCACCAGTCAGTTATGCAAGCTAGAAACGTGCCTTAAGGACGTTAGGACCTGGATGACCAGACATTTTTTGCTACTTAACTCAGACAAGACTTAAGTTATTGTGCTAGGCCCTAAAAACCTCGGAGAGACTTTTTCTAGTCATGTGACTGTCCTTAATGACATCAGTCTGGCATCTAGCACCACTGTTAGGAATCTAGGAGTTCTATTAGATCAAGATATGTCCTTTACCTCTCACATCAGGCAAATTTCGAGAACAGCCTATTTTCACCTTGGTAATATATCCAAGATCAGGAATACCCTGTCGCAAAATGATGCAGAAAAACTAGTTCATGCATCTGTTACCTCCAGGTTGGATTATTGTAATTGTCTTTTGTCGGGGTGCTATGGTGGGCCTCTAAAGACTCTTCAACTAGTCCAGAACGCTGCAGCTCGTGTACTGACTAGAACTAGGAAAGGCGACCACATTACTCCTGTGTTGGCTTCTCTGCACTGGCTCCCTATAAAATCTAGAATAGAACTGAAGATCCTTCTTCTCACTTACAAAGCTCTAAATGGCCAGGTACCATCTTATCTTAAGGAGCTACTAGTGCACTGGTGGACTACTACTAATAATAATAATAATAATAATAAATTAGATTTATATAGTGCTTTTCTAAATACTCAAAGACGCTTTGACAGGAAACAACAACAAAAAAACTAAGCAAAAACTAAGAGAACAATACAAAATAGAAATAGTGTCAAGGGAAGAGGATGAGATTCATGTTTTTAGGGAGAGAGTTCCAGAGGGTGGGAGCTGCAATGGAGAAGGCCCTGTCCCCCCCAGGACCGAAGGTTGGTCCTGCGGGGGGGGGACAGGAGGTTTGCGTCCACAGACCTGAGAGTGCGGGTGGGAGTGTGTCGGTGGAGGAGCTCAGACAGGTAGGGGGAGCCAGGTTGTGGAGGGCTTTGTAGGTGAGGATGAGGAGTTTGAAGTGGATACGCTGGGGGATGGGGAGCCAGTGGAGGTCATGAAGGACAGGGGTGATGTGATCTCGGGTGCGGGAGTGTGTGAGGAGACGAGCAGCGGAGTTTTGAATGTATTGAAGTTTCTTGATTGATTTGGATGGTGAACCATAGAGGAGACTGTTGCAATAGTCTAATCTGGAGGTGATGAATGCGTGGGTGAGGGTCTCGGCAGCTGAGAATAAGAGTGATGGGTGGAGGCGGGCGATGTTTCTGAGGTGGAAAAAGGCTGTTTTGGTGATTTGTTTAATGTGTTTGTCGTAGGAGAGGGTTTGGTCAAAGATGACACCAAGGTTACGGATGTGGGGGGAAGGGAGCACTGTGGAGCCATCGATGGTTAGGGAGAAGTTGTTG